ACACACACACACACACAAATACATACACACAGACAACTCCGTGACAGTATGTGTTTTGTACTGCTGTTGCACAGCACCAAACGCCTAAAAACTATGCTTTTCATGTCTGTTGACAGGAAAAAATAAAAAGACAATTATAATGAGACCGATTGTGTATAAAAAGACTTCGGACTGACGGTGTTTATTTCTTCCTTGTCAACGCTGTTTGTCTGCAGTGTGACCACACGCATATCAGCACTTTCCATCTCCTTCGTCTTCTATGTGTCTTCGATTCGTGTTATTTATTAAACAGGTGTGCTTGCGATGGAAACTATGTTATTGCTAAGCATAGGTGATTAGGCTGCATGCCAATGTTCCTGACCACTTTTCCAATGAAGCTCCCGAAAATATCTCGGGACAGCTCGCAAAAAAACCTGGACTATATGAGATGGCCGTCCTCCGGTCTTCCTATTTTGTTATACGAATGGGGTAGTAGTAGAGATCAGGTCTTCCACATTTCCCCATTAATATCTCCACCTGCGAGTTCACTGCATAGCATTTATTTCTACCGTAAAGAATGCTTTCTCATAACCGGCGAATAGGAGGTAGAAGGGAAGCTGACGCTCCGTTTTGTGTTTGGGCGGCTGGTTTAGAGTGAAAATATCTTCCAGTGTTCTGTAATTTCAGTTTGCCTTCTCTCTCAGCATACAGCTTGTAAATGTGAGATAATAAGCAGAACGGGCAGTATTTTTTCAAACGTGTATTAATTGGTGAGTCAAAACACTTCCCATATTTCATTTTTCATGACAGCAGAAGTTGCGCAGCAGCAGCTATCCATGTTCAAGGCTCTGAGAGCTCCATTTTCCAAAATTTGTTTAAAAAGATGGTTAGCTGGCTGGTCTTGCTGTTTCTAATTCACCGTGGGTATATTTGAATGAAAATAATTATAGAGAGATTTGGAGTAGTTAGTTTCAGAGAAAATTAAGTTAGGAGACAAAATATTTATAAGCAAATTTTTCAGGTTTATGCCAGTAATAAGAGTATGATGGCACGACTGCTGCGAGACGCCTGTGAGGACGAGCTGCAGCTGCCTCGTTTAGAGGGCCTCACGCCGGTTCAAATTTTCCTTGAAATGGGTCTAGCACGCTTGCGAAGAAAATGCATGGATAACTTCATTGGCAAAGGTTCTATATGTTGCAAAGTTCATATGATGATACACTGCCGTTATAGATTATGAAACCACTAAGCAAAAAGCGGACGGTTCTATAAAAAGACGATCATGAAAGAGACGGAAAACAAGCTTTTGGATTAGCTTAAGCGATTCGGCCAATTGCTCATAATAAGTTTTTACGGAGGACTTTGCAAAAGTAAGGAGCGAATAGCTCAAAACGCGGGATGGTGAATAAGAGGTTTGCTCCATGGAAACGAAAACACATGCCTGTATGTGCAATTTTAGCAGTTCCTTCGGATTTATCGCGTTACAAACTGTTATGCGAATGTATTTTCGTACTGCTGATCCTTTTCTTTTTTCACTCTTAGTGAAACGGTTGCACCAACATTGATAGAATCCATAGCGCCAAGAAAGGACACTTTTACTGTAATTCGAACAAATTAGCCGTTTCTGCTCAGCTGTATTTTTTTGACATGCGATAAATATTATTTCTTTAATGCTTATGTTCGATCTCTGGCTTCTTATGATGCTTCCTAACTGTGTTGAATTTTTTGACTGATACACCTTATCATCACTGAGGCCCGTTTGTCTGGAATGAGGCGAATTCGATTTGTGGGCCTGCAGTGCGTAGGAAATCTTCAATTAGTGCGTTCAATTATTAATTAAAAAATGACAGTGCGCATTCCTCTACAGTGATGAAAAAAGCTGCTTTTTTTTCAGGTTATTTTGAAAGTGTTTACGATATTACAAGTGTATTTGACATCTGCATAAAGAAGGATCCACAGGACCAGGCTGATGCCTTGTTCTTGCTGTACAATGGCGTATTAATGATGAACATCTTTGCACAGTATCTAAACTTGGATCGGCACCGTATGCACACAGTTGCTAGGTGAACTAGTCTTTAAAAAGATGTGCAAAAGGAATCTGCTCTTTAAATTGTTTCTGTATGTGGAAGTTAAGATTATACATTGTATGAGTGGTGTGCAGAATTCGTCATAAATGCATGAGAAAGTACCGAGATTCGTCTCATTCGATGTATAAAAAGATAGCGACCGCTCGCTCAAGCGACCTTCGAAGAATGTCGCACGTATTTAATATAATCGGTGAGTGCAGACTGGGGCAGTGCGTAACAGCATTCATTTCAGTAAAATGCAGTCTGTGCCACTGGTAGCTCGGCCAATACTAGTGATTCGAACACTGAACATTTCCACGAAAAGTTTAGCCATAAGTGGAATTATTTACATGGAATTTCAAAATGACTTATAGTTCGGTTCATGTGTAAATCTCTTTTCGTTGACTACAGGCATGTTCTGATGCGATACAGCAGCCTCAAATTATCGCCAACGGCAGAGGGAGTAACAGCCGAAATGATCGAAAAATTGAACTTCACAGTTGATTCAAATATATCTTTTGCAGACGTTTCTGATGTCATCCGTACTTGGTAATTTTCTGTGGATCTTTTGCGTGAGTTAAGCAAGAATCAGATTTGAGCAGTTCGAATTGTTTAACTTTTTATGCATTCTTTGCATCTGTGCGATGCAAAACGCATATTGTCGAGGGATTGTCTGTGTTTGTGTCTGTGTGCGTGTGTGTACCGATTTCTCATCTCGGAACCTACAAAAGTTACGGGGCTGAAACTTTCGGAAATTAATCTACATGCAAGTAGGGTGCTTCAAACTCCCAAAATGGGCGCTCTTACCCACGTGGTTCCCAGGTGCAAAGTTTTTGGCGGGTAAATCGCTAACTCACGAACCAGAAAAGCTAGAAGGCTATAATTTTAAGGGGATGCTCCTCGTCCAAGCAGGTGTTAACGAGCTCAAACCGTAGTTCCGTAATTTGCGTAGTTCGGGTGCGCGTAGTTCCCACTTACGGGCCCGTGAAAGTTTTTTGCGAGTGAGTTGCTAACTCGGGGACTGAGAAGCTAGAAGGTTATAAATTTAGGGGAATGTTTCTCAACAGTCCTGGCGGCCAGTCTCAATTTTTTAGCTAGAAGTACCAGCCGGGAAAGCCGGTGCCGTTTGCGACAAAAACCTGAGGGGAATTTTGCAAAAAACGCATTTTCGCACCGGCAGCCGGTGCGCTGGCCATTTATTTATTTTTTGTCATTTAACAAAGTAGACATAAGTGCTGTTATAGACTTCTGGAACCTTAAATTTAGTTGTTGCTTACAGAGCCTTGCAATTTTAGCCACGCGTTGGCTCAATTCCGTCATCGGAAAATCATATTTTTTACAACTTTTGTCTTCCTTAGTAAAATGGTATTGGGCTGTGTAAAGTGAATTAAGCTGTTTCAGCTTGCAGCCAAGCATCACCGAAAGTGGGGCAGTCAGCAGATTTTTTACGTTTGGTTGCCATCGATAGTTGCGGTTGCTTGAACTAGTCCTGAAGGCCTTCACTTCTCAGAAAAAATAACCTACGGAAGGGATTTGTTTTTTTTTAAAGAAACGTTTTTGGTATTTGCAGCAAGATTCCAAAAATATGGAAATCAGAAGTTACAATTGAGACTTCTGATAAACAGGATTGGCTTGCACGCGGTATGGTCTTATGTTCACGAGAAGATCCTCCTTCGTGGATCCCGAGTGCAGACTGTATCGAGCAGCCCAACTGTGGGCAGATCTCAGAAGTACAGGATCGTTCATGGGTTTGCGCGGAGGTTTGTGTGTGTGTGTGTGCTTTTTTTGCGAAAAATTCATATTTGTTTATCGGCTGAATAGCTAAAATCGATTGAAAGATTGACTTTTTAAACTGTTAATAACAGTTCGTCTCTGTCAGATCCATTATTTTCTTTAGTGGTAAATTAGGACTGGATTCTGACTTGTCAGATATTCAGCGTTTTGCATTTTAAGCAAATTGAGGAAGCGAAGACCAGCTGATTGTTTTAAACATGGTGTTGTCATTCGGTCCAATTTCATATTCCTTCTCACATCTGGGGGTAAGCGAAAGCACAATTACTCAAACTCGGCCCAGCCGGCGTCATATACGATTTGCAAAAAAATTCTTCTGGCGATGGTAAGTTTGTCTTAGAGTGAGTGGCGGGATTTCGAATGTGGCAAGTTGTTGGGAGGGGAGGGGGGGGGGGGGGGGGG